CCCCAAAACCCCAAAACCCCAAAACCCCGTGAGAGAAAATTTGTGGATTTGTGCAGAGTAAGAAAAAAAAGTGATGAAAATTGCTTGAGTTTGAAGGCAAATCCTTCACGTAAATTTATAATAAAAATTAAACTTATGTAACCCTGTCAAACTCAAAACCCACATAAACTCCTAGAGTCCATGATCCTCTAGTCAGCAACACTTGAAGATGTAAACTCATTCATAAACTCACACAATAATGAATTAAACTAATCCTGGAATCATGAATTAAAGGAAGAATTTGAAAGAGCAACAAAATTGGATTCTTTAACCCTTGTGGAACAATATTAAATCATTAAAGATCAGGCCCTTGCATCATAAATCCTAACTCCTTATTTACTTGTTTAACAATCCTAAGACACCTTAGATGTAAGTACAAATAATTTTAGAATCATTTTTATGTTTTAGTTTGGAAATTTGGGCTTGTTATTTCAAAATTATAGTTAAGATCAAAATATGGATTCTATAACATCAGACGATGATCCCCTTGAATCAACCCATGGCTCATACACATAGCCAGATTCCGAAAGCTAAAGCTTTGACAAGCAGCAAGTTCATAAAAAATCACATAATAAGACAAGAACTGACACAATTTGGAAGAAAACACTAAGAGCTTTCAGACTCTTCTAAAAGAACCAATTCTTAAAAATTATTGGAAGAAAACTCACCCCTGCTTAATTTCAAGGGTCGCCATCTCGAATTCATTAGTAAATAGCAAAAGTAAAATAATCTCTGAGTGATTTAAATCAGAATTATATTTCTGATCAGATCAAAGAGGGAATCAATTAATTAAAAATTAGAGATTTAATAAATACTAAGAAAGCTTCAATTTTAATATGCCTGTTCTTGTATAATACTAGAACTGAATAGCTAGACAAAATGAAAAACATTCTATTCGATATTTAAGGTGATAGCTATACAAACCTTTTGAAAATTTACTATGGAATATATGGCAACACCCATAACTCATAAGACAGAGTCTAATTTTTCAATGATGATCTCAATAAAATTTTGTTCGAAAGATGGATGACTTTATATTTTGATGATTTTATTGAGAACCTACCTCAAGGAAAATACTTCAAGGATGAACTCATTAACTTCTTGAAGGACCTAACAAATTACAATGTCAGCTATCGATTGTCACACAAAATTAAGTAGATGACATCAAATGGACCAAAGAAGAGAGGTAGACCTTGCAAATCATCTCCTTCATCTTCTGAAAAAATTGAGACAAATAATTTTTGATTAACTTATAATTATATATAAGCTCACTCAAAGAATGAGTGAGTACTTCTTTGTTTAGTATAACGTATATTAAATTTATATTGTACAAGTATATAAAGTGTAAAGTAAGAAGTCTAATCATTTATAAGGGGAAATATGGATTTATAAATCGAAGTAAATCATTGCTATAAATCATAATTTGCAGAGAATCCATATTTAATAAATCATGCATTTTTATATCTTGGATTCTTTCAATTCTACGAATCTTTGCTAAGTGGGGTTTTGGGGTTTTGGGGAGATCGGAAGAGC